TGGCATTGTGTGTAGGATAGCCAGGAGATCCTAAGATTGTCTGGCAGCCAGTTGTTCTAGCTCTTTTGTGTTATGCACCACTAGGTGGCGAGCTAGACTCTTTTTTGAGGCAAGAGATGTTTCAGAGGTGGTTTGCCTCTGTGTCGCAGCCCTGGACTTCCTTGGAGGTCGCCCTTCCAAATACTAGTCAAGGCCGAACCTGTGTAGCTTCCGAGATTTGATGGGATCGGGCTAGCCTGGACTATCCAGGTCAGGCGGAGAAGGGGAACAAGGCTGTGAGACTATAGCTTGCCTATGGCCACCTAGTAAAATCATAGCAGAGGCAAGATTTGAACCAGGGATTTTCTGATACATAGCTCACGTTGCAGTCGTCCACAGTTAGGTCAGACTGGAGCAACTCTGGCTTAGGATTGCAGTGTTGGATTCTTCGCTATACCAGCTCTCGTCACACTGCATACTGCGAGGCCACCTCTTCACTCAAACCATAACAGGAGCCCCCCAACCGCAGCAGATGTGATGCACCTCCCGACACCGTTTGCACCATGTGCGCTGGGCATAGATCAAACGTGGGCTTGGTGTTTACCAAGGAGTCATTTGATGGTCTGAGCTAGCTCACCGATGAAGAGAGAGCATTCAGGATGCTGAGGTTGGATCCAGTCAGTTTTCCCACTAAAGGGAGGAAGGGGCTCTTTTTGTAGCAGGAACTCCTTTGCATATTAGGCCACACCCCCTAATGTAGCCAATCCTCCAAGAGCTTACAGAGCTCTTCTTACAGAAGCTACTGTAAGCTCTTGGAGGACTGGCTACATTAGGGGTGTGTTGCTTAATATGCAAATGAGTACCTGCTACAAAAAGAGCCCTGCGGGACAGTCTCAGGCCACCTGAAAAGGTTTTGCTGGAGGTCATGGGACTCTCAAGGACAAAAGCCACAAGAAGATGGTGGCGGATAAGGACAGCTGGGAGAGACCAAGTGGAAAAGCTGGTTGGATCCATCCCGTTGACTGTTGCTCTTCATTTTGTTCCAGTTACCCCTCCAGACAAGAGGGCAGTCTGAGCCGTGTGGATTCTGCGCACCTGATGCCCATTAGGGCACTGGCTTTGCCAGTCTCTGCAGCAGCCGTGCTAAACCAAAGCAGAGCAACGAAAGTTGTGCATAACCTTTGCACCTAATTGGGACCTGTTTTACACACCCTCCACCCCCCAAACAAAACGGCGCTTTCATGCATGGCCCTTTCCTTTTATTTTTTAGCTCATTTGACCAAAAGTCTCAAGCTTTTAAACCACAGCGAAGTTAAGAATTATAGCAACATTTATTTTTATTTTATTTTATTCGATTTGTGTCCCGCCCTCTCTGCATAGCAAGCTCAGGGCGGGTTCCAGACATACCGATCTGCAATAATGCAGATTTACACTTAAAACAAAATTCATGAGTACAGCATTAGTTAAACTCACTAAAATCCGTAAAACACTAAAAACATACAATGTGCCTCAACAAGGTGGTATTAATTCCGGCGATGTTACAGTTTCAGTCGGCTTCTAGGATCTGCAGTCACTGGAGGGGGGCCAGACCGAAATGGATGCCCGATGCCATAAAAACATAAAATATTGCATAAAACAGATCCAAAGATACATTATATAGTCACCAAGAATCATCACAAAATTATAAATATTGCAAAGTAGGAAACTTTATAGATACATATTCAAATAGAAGATAAAATATCCCAGTGGGATTAATATACTAACATGAAAAAATATAGAAAAATGATATGAATAAAAGAGAATTAACTTTCTGCTAAAATCTCCAGAATCTGGAATTAATTATAAATTAAGGGCCCATTAGATCATATAGACTAGGCCATCGTTTCATTGATAGCTAACACAGACATATTTCTTCGGCGTTTAAGAGAGGTTACTACTGTCGGGTGTTTTGCGACAGAGCAGATTATTTCTGGATCAGAATCTGCCCAAAAGTGGAGCTATCACCCAGGGTTCCAGAGGAAGTTGATATTTAAACAGAATCAGGGTAGTACAGAGGGACCTTAGGACTTCCCGTTGATGGCAGAATAGTAAAAGATGGTCCAGCGTCTCTATTGCGCCAGAAGCACAATCGCATAACCGGTCCGAGTGTGGCATTTTCACAAAGCGTCCCTTTTGCTCTGCAGTCGGGAAACGGTTTAATCTAGCAAGCACAAAGGCATGTCTGTGGCTAAATAATACTAAATAATGCCATTTCCATCCACTTCAGCGACAGTTTGCAAGCGGATGTCGCCATTTCACCTACCCTGTTTCCCCGAAAATAAGACCTACCCCAAAAATAAGCCCTAGCAGGATTTCTATGCATTTGTAGTATAAGCCCAAGTGTGTCTTCTTGAGAAAAAATAAATATAAGACAGTGTCTTATTTTTGGGGAAACACGGTAGTAAAATCCAGTTGCAAAGTGCATTGGAAGTGCATTGGAAGTGCGTTAACGCGGTGTGCGTGAAAGTGCCCCCCAAAACACATCTTTGTGGTTTAGCTCTACAATACAAGGTGAACCTGTGGGGAAGCCGCTGTCTCAGCAGCCCCTGAGATCACGCTGATGGGGAAGGGGGGAGAGACCGCAAAGGGGTGAGTGCGAAGCTGATCTGAACCTCTTCTGTTCTTACCCAGATCATGAAGTACGCGGAGCAGAGGATCCCGACCCTGAACGAGTACTGCGTGGTGTGCGACGAACAGCATGTCTTCCAGAACGGGTCCATGCTGAAGGTACTTCCTGCTTCCTTTTTAGGCGCCGGTTCCTCAGCCTAGCAGCCCAAATGGGTAAAGCCGAGGCAGGTCCCATTTAGGGAACGATTGTCCTTGCGGATGTTAAGTGCTCCGGCTGAAGGCTCACAAGGAGCTCTCTCCATCAGGAACAAAGTCTGAGTCCAGGGGCACCTTTAAGACCAGCAAAGTTTTATTCAAAGTATAAGCTTTCATGTCCAGGCACACTTCTTCAGGTACAGTGAAACAGAATTTCCTCAACCATTACATATAGAAAAGATGTATGAACTGTATAATGCTATATTTTCGGAACGCAGAATTAAGTTTGTGGGAACGTTCCCGAGTGGATTATAAAGACAGGACAATAGGTAAATTAGAAATCAATCCAACGGGCATATTGTAGGTTATCCTCGATAAATTGGTTTAAATGTTATTCCTTCCCTTTGTTATGATGTGTTGTATAAACTTGTATTATGGGAATTAAAAGCAAAATAAAATATTTAAAGAAACACACCATTACAAATGGGAAGAGAGAGGGTGAGGGGGGTTTGTTGTTGTTCAGTCGCACAGTTGAGTCCAACTCTTTGCGACCCCATGGACCAGATCATGCCAGGCCTTCCAGTCTTCTGCCGTCCTCTGAAGTTTGCTCAACTTCATGTTCGTCGCATCTATGACACTGTCTAACCATCTCATCCTTTGCTGTCCCCGTCTTCTTTGACCTTCAATCTTTCCCAGCATCAGGGTCTTCTCCAGTGAGTGCTCCCTTCTCATTGGGTGGCCGAAGTCCGAAGTATTTGAGCTTCAGTTTCATTCTCTGGCCTTCCAGGGAACAGTCAGGGTGGATTTCTTTTAGGATTGACAGATTTGATCTTCTTGCAGTCCAAGGGACTCTCAAGAGTCTTCTCCAGCACTATAGTTCAAAAGAATCTATTCTTCAGCCTTCCTTATAGTCCAACTCTCGCAGCCATACATGACTACTGGGAATACCATAGCTTTGACCATGCGGACTTTTGTTGGCAGGGTGATGTCTCTGCTTTTTATCATGCTGTTTAGGTTCGCCATCGCTTTCCTCCCAAGGAGCAGGGGGGTTAAGGCGGCCTTAATCCAATCTCACCTATAACCACACAGTTCCTTATGCATCATGATTCTAGCCAGCCCTTCCTGGCAACTAACCCCCCACCCTCTCTCTTCCCATATGTAGTGGTTGAGGAAATTCTGTTTCACTGTACCCGAAGAAGTGTGCATGGACATGAACGCTTATACTTTGGATAAAAAAACAAGGTGCCCCTGGACTCAGACCTTGTTCGGCTGCTTCAGACCAACATGGCTGCCCACCTAAATCTTTCCATCAAGGTTACTCCTGCAATGGGGAGGGGCTGTAGCTCAGTGGTAGAGCATTTGCTTGGCATGCAGAAGGTCCCAGGTTCAATCCCCGGCACCTCCAGTTAAGAAGGATCATGTAGGAAGCGATGTGAAAGGCCTCTGCCACACACCCTGGAGAGCCACTGCCATTTTGAATAGACGAGACTGACTTGGATGGACCATTGGAGTATGAGGTAGCTTTGGTATAAAGGCGCTTTATGTGTCCGTGTGCATCCAGCTAAGCAAAATTTGGACCGAGGTGGGGATCTTGGAGGCCTCGATTGCCTTAGGTAAAATAAGAATCAATAGTGTAGTAAAGGTAAAGGTTCCCTTGCTCGAAAGCCAGTCGAGTCCGACTCTAGGGTTGCGGTGCTCATCTCCGTTTCAAAGCCGAAGAGCCAGCGCTGTCCGAAGACGTTTCCGTGGTCACGTGGCCGGCATGACTAAACACCAAGGCGCACGGAACGCTGTTTCCTTCCCACTGAAGTGGTCCCTATTTATCTACTTGCAATTTCTTGCTTTCGAACTGCTAGGTTGGCAGGAGCTGGAACTAGAGACGGGAGCTCACTCCATCTTGCGGCACCCCGGTCTCGAACTGCTGAACTACCGACCTTCCACAGCCTGCAGTTCAGCGTCTTAACCACTTGAGCCACCGCAACTCCTCAATAGTGTAGTACCATGCAGTTATTCCAATTTTAAGCCCTGACCTGGAAGCTAAGTCGGGTCATCATCCCTGGCTGTTATTTGGATGGGCAACCTCCGAGGAATACCAGGGGCGTGACCCAGAGGCAGGTAATGGCAAAACCGCCTCTGAAATAGCTCTTGCCTTATAGACGTCTATCTTGCCACCTAGTGGTGCATAACGCTAAAAAAGCTAGAACTCTGGACTGCCAGACAATCTTAGGATCTCCTGGCTATTCTACACATGCTGCCATATGATAATTAATTAGTTAATTCCAGTTTAAGCCTCTTTTTTTCAATAGTTTTAGACTGGAATAACTCTGCATAGGATTGCCCTAGAAAGAACTGGACATTGAGTTAAAAGCGTGTGAGGTCGTGGTGGTACAATCAAAGCCGTGGGCCTTGAATTGTCTTCTATCTCTGGGTGGCTACGAATAGGTGACCAAGTGCTAGTTTTTCAGAGTTTGCGTAAGGATCACAGTGATGTGGCACTTAGAGGACTCCAGTCTCAGTGGCCTTAAACTGAAGTAACTTCAGACAGGATTGCACCAGCGTTAATCATCATCAGTTCTACTTCTTTACGCTCCTTTTCTAGAAATGTTCTTTTGCTCCAAATAGAAATGGAAAGAAGTGTCGTGGTTAAGTGCGCGGACTCTGATCTGGGAGGACCGGGTTTGATTCCCCACTCCTCCGCTCGCACCTGGCTGGATGACCTTGGGCAAGCCATAGTTCTGATAAGAGCTGTCCTTTAAAAGGAGCAGTTTCTGTCAGAGCTCTCTCAGCCCACCTACCTCACAGGGTGCCCGTTGTGGGGAGGGGAAGGGAAAGGAGTTTGTAAGCCGCTCTGAGACACCTTTGGGTAGGTTATAAATCCAATCTCCTCTCCTCCTCAATCCAAGAGGTGCTACATTGATGGCAGACTGGCACCTTCTAGTTGTCCACCCGAGGGGAACTTAGCTTGCCTTGCAAAGCGGATGGGGCCTTCTCTCGCTAACCTAATGGCTTTTGTCTTCCCACAGCCGGCTGTGTGCACGAGAGAGCTCTGCGTCTTCTCCTTCTACACTCTGGGTGTGATGTCCGGTGCGGCGGAGGAAGTGGCCACGGGAGCAGAGGTACGTTGGGCTGAGTGACAAACCGGAAGGGAGGGCTGCTGGCCAGGCCCGGGAGGGGGTTGAAGAAAGACAGGACCCATGAAAACAGACCAGAGCTGTCCAGAGTCTGAGCTTAGTTTTCAGGACTGCGTGTGTTGCTTTGGGGTATTTGTGGTGCAGCTCTTTTCCCGTATGCACGAAGACATCCCTTTCTACAAGCATGGATGTTTGGATGTTTGGTTCTGGATACAGTTCCCTTGGGGATGTTAAGAAGACACTTGGTTCAAGGCTAGCTCCAGGTTTGGGGGGTCTCTCAGTGCTCCCCAATCCAGTGCCCACCTAATCCATCGTGCGTGCGTTACGTGCCGCCAAGTTGCTTCCGATCTATGGTAACTCTATGAATGAATGACTACAAAAACATCCTCCCATCAACAGCCTTGCTCCGGTCTTGCAGACCGAGGGCCCTTGTGGCCTCCTGGATTGAGACAATCCATCGCATGTTGGGTCTTCCTCTTTTCCTGCCGCTTTCAACTTTCCCCAGCATTTATTGTCTTCTCCAGTGACTGTTGTCTTCTCAAGATGTGACCAAAGTACAGTAGCCTCAGTTTAGTTATTTTAGCTTCTAGGGAGAGTTCAGGCTTGATCTGATCTAGAAGAGGAGAAGAAGAAGAGAAGAGATTGGATTTATACCCTGCCCTTTACTACCCAAAGGTGTCTCAGAGCAGATTATTATTATTATTATTATTATTATTATTATTATTATTATTATTATTATTATTATTATTATTATTATTATTATTATTATTATTATTATTATTATTATTATTATTATTATTATTATTATTATTATTATTATTAGCTAGGTGACATCAGCTTCTCCAGGTCTTGCAGTGCCACACTGCCACCGCCTGGCCGGAACGGCCCATTACAGGCTTCTCGGAGTCGAAGAGATTTTTCTTAGGCTTTCAATCTTGCGAGCTGAGCATTCCGGTCGCCAGCTAACACCTCCCCTACCGGGGGGGGGTTTGGTGTGCCCACCCTCTCTAAGGAGTGGTACCCATTTTATCTACTCGCCGAAGCTTTCGAACCGCTGGGTGGACGGCAAGCTAGGGACAAGGCTGGTAGCTCACACCAACACGGGGCTAGAACTGACAGCCATACTGTTCAGCTCAGATGTTACTAACCAGAGGATAAATCCTCTGTGCCACCGCTTACAAACTCCTTTCCCTTCTTCTCCCCACAACAGACACCCTGTGAGGTAGGTGGGGCTGAGAGAGCTCTTGACAGAAACTGTTATTTTTTCAAGAACAGCTGTGCCAGAGCTACGGCTTGCCCATCCAGCCAGGTGCAAGTGGAGGAGTGGGGAATCAAACCCGGTTCTCCCAGATTAGAGTCCGCGCACTTAACCACTACACCAAGCTGGCTCTAGAACCCACTGATTTGTCCTTTTGGCAGTCAGTATCTACAAAACTCTCCTCCAACATCACATTTCAAGGGAATCAGCTTTCTTCATTCTCCAACTTTCACCCCCGTACTTAGTAATGGGGAATTGCATGGTATGAGTTAACTTGATCTTGGTCGCCAGTGACACATCCCTGCACTTAAGAACCTTTTCTAGCTCCTTTGTGGCTGCCCTTCCCAGTCTCAGTCTCCTTCTCACTTCTTGGGTGCAGTCTCCCTTTTGGTTGATGATGGAGCTGAGGAATAGGAAATCTAGAACCATATCCATTTCTTCAGTTTTGTGAGTGGTGAGGAGCCAGTTTGGGTCTTCAGTTAGGAGTGTGGACTCTAGTCTGGGAGAACCGGGTTTGATCCCCCCACTCATCCACATGCAGCTGCTGGTGTGACCCTGGGTCAGTCACAAGTTCTCTCAGAGCTGTTCTCTCAGGGGCAGTCCTCGAAAGAGCTCTCTCAGGCCCACCTCCCTTACAGGGTGGCTGTTGTGAGGAGGGGAAAGAAAAGGAGATTGTAGGACGCTCTGAGACTCCTTTGGGTAGTGAAGGGAGGGATATAAATCCAACCTCTTCTTCTCTCCAGACTTAAAGTTGTGTCATTCCTCAGGAGTCATTACTTTTGTCTTCTTGATGTTCATCTGTAATCCCACGTTGGCGCTTTCCGCTTTAACCTTCACCAGGAGTTGTTTCACGTCTCCTGTTTTCTGCCGGTGATGGGGTGTCGTCTGCATGTCTCAAATTGTGAATGTCCCTTCCACCCAGTGCTCCCTCTAAGCTGAGTTAGTGTGAGCTAGCACACCATTCTTTAGCCTCCAGCTCACACATTTTTGTCTTAGCTCAGGGAGGAGGAGGGCTCTGGAGCAAACTAATTTATGCCTAGCCAAATCGCTTGCTCACAACTTTAATGCCAGTTGTTCACAAAGCAGAATTTTTGCTCACAAGACTCCACAGCTTAGAGGGAACATTGCTTCCACCCCTTTTCGTTCCACCTTCATCTGATCATTCGTAGGGTCTCCATACATTGGAACTGACTCGATGGCCCGTAACACACATATAGCCTACCAGCTAGGAAGGCAAAGGCAAGTTGATTGGGAGAGCCACTTGGGAAGGCGGCCTCACCTCTCCCATCCCTGGAATGAGATGAGATGATGCTTGACCCTTTCTCAGCACCTTCCCAGACTCTCTCTCACATTGAAGAATCCACAGGATTCTCTGCTTTGTCTTCATGGAAATTAGATACCCAATTGTCTCTGGCTGGGTTCTCAGGGCGGAGGTGGGAGACCGAATGAGGTGTTGGGATGCAACGGTGCCTTCCTGGTCCCTTCTACTGTTACCCTTCATTTCTTCCCCCAGGTAGTGGACCTCCTAGTGGCCATGTGCAGAGCGGCCTTGGAGTCTCCGCGCAAGAGCATCATCTTCGAGCCTTACCCCTCCGTTGTGGATCCCAGTGATCCCAAGACCCTTGCCTTCAACCCCAAGGTTGGTACAAGTTGGCAGGTACAAGGCAGGGAACTCTACACACATGAAGCTGTCTTATACTGAATTAGACCATTGGTCCACCAGCGTCAGTGTTGACTACTCATACTGGCAGTGGCTCTCCAGGGTGTCAGGCAGAAGTCTTTCCCATCACCTACTGCCAGGTCCATTTAATTGGAGATGCCAGGGATTGAACCTGGGACCTTCTGCATGCAAAGCAGAGGCTCTACCACTCAGGCAGGGTCTCCAGTAGAGGTCTTTCCCATTACCTGCTGCCTGGTCCTTTTAACGAGAGATGCCGGGGATTGAACCTGGGACCTTCTGTATGCAAAGCAGAGGCTCTACCACTGTGCCAGGGTCTCCAGTAGAGGTCTTTCACATCACCTTCTGCCTGGTCCTGTTAACTGGAGATGCTGGGGATTGAACCTGGGACCTTCTGCATGCCAAGCAGAGGCTCTACCACTGAGCCAGGGTCTCCAGTAGAGGTCTTTCCCATCACCTGGTCCTGTTAACTGGAGATGCTGGGGACTGAACCTGGGACCTTCTGCATGCCAAGCAGAGGCTCTACCACTGAGCTAGGGTCTCCAGTAGAGGTCTTTCATATCACCTACTGCCTGGTCCTTTTAACTGGAGATGCCGGGGATTGAACCTGGGACCTTCTGCATGCCAAGCAGAGGCTCTACCACTGAGCCAGGGTCTCCAGTAGAGGTCTTTCCCATCACCTACTGCCTGGTCCTTTTAACTGGAGATGCCGGGGATTGAACCTGGGACCTTCTGCATGCAAAGCAGAGGCTGTTCCACTGAGCCGCAGCCCCTCCCTAGAGTATTCCAGGGCTCATGTCAGGATTTGGTTCAGAGTTGACGTTCAAAGCCCACCATGGCCATTTATGGAAACGGGCTAGCAAAATGGCACGTTGCAATCCAACTAACCGCGCTGCTGTCACCAAAACCAAACAATGATTTTTTTGATTTCTGCTTGCCAGTGGCAAGCCATGATGATATGGTCTCAGGGTGCCCTATCTGTGTCAATCCTAGTCACAGCAATCCTGTAGAGGGTCGTTGTGGTGGAGTGGTTGGTGTCGGACTAGAATCCGCGAGACCCGGGTTCAAATCCCCACTCTGTCCTGGAAGCCTGCCGGGTGACCTTGGGCCAGTCACACTCCCAGCCTAACTTACCTCGCAGGGTCGTTGTGAGGATAAAACGGAGGCGAGGAAGACGACGAAGGTCTCCAGACCTTCCCTGCCCTCATGGCTTTCTTGGCATTGATCCAGCAAAACACGACCAGACCCCTTCCGTGCCTGACGTGTGACCTTCTCCCCTTCTTTTGCTCTCATAGAAGAAGAACTACGAGCGATTGCAGAAAGCCCTGGACAGCGTCATGTCAATCCGTGAAATGACCCAAGTAGGTACCGACAGGGTTTTTTTTTTTGCAGACTTCATGTTCTCCTTGATGCCTCTGTCTACTAGCTTTGCACTTGGGGGCGGTTTAAACACCATCGCCAAACACCCGTAACGTGGCATTTGCCTCTTTCTCTGTAATGTTGCCATTGGATGCTTGATCCCTGGAAAACAGGGACGCCCCAAATGAGACCATATGAACCTCCGGCCCCATTTCATGCGTGCACCAGTGTTCCCTCTAAGCTGAGTTAGTGTGAGCTGGCTCACAATTGTTTAGCCTCTGGCTCACATATTGTAGTCTTCGCTCAGGAAGGAGGGCTCCAGAGCAAACTAATTTATGCAGGAGCCCAATTGCTCGCTCACAACTTTAATGTCAGTAGCTCACAAAGTAGAATTTTTGCTCACAAGGCTCCACAGCTTAGAGGGGGCATTGGCGTGCACACGTATGCACAAGGACTGATCCGAGATCAGGAAGAGGTGCATTTTGCAAACAATGTGCTGTCTACATGGCCATCCACTGGTTTCGCTTAGCTGTGGTGTTGCAAGGTTCTACTGGCTGTGCTGAGGCCCTTGTGCTGCCTGTGTGTTTTCTCGACAGGGTTCCTACCTGGAGATCAAGAAGCAAATGGACAAGTTGGATCCTCTGGCCCACCCTCTCCTTCAGTGGTAAGGCAGACAGCAACATTATAATACAGAGTTTTCTAGGAGGCCTTCACTGAAGAAGTGCCGGTGTGGGAAGAAAATGTTCTGTAGGCATTGAAGAGGTCTAGGTGGGAGGTCAGGGGCAGTGATGGAGGATTTAGGTCAGAAGCGAGGGACAGCGATGGAGGATGTAGGTGGGAAGTGAGGGATAGCGATGGAGGATCTTGGTGGGAAGTGAGGGACAGCGATGGAGGATCTTGGTGGGAAGTGAGGGGCAGTGATGGAGGATGTAGGTGGGAAGTGAGGGACAGCGATGGAGGATGTAGGTGGGAAGTGAGGGACAGTGATGGAGGATGTAGTTGGGAAGTGAGGGACAGCGATGGAGGATGTAGGTGGGAAGTGAGGGACAGCGATGGAGGATTTAGGTGGGAATTGAGGGACAGCAATGGAGGATGTAGGTGGGAAGTGAGGGACAGCGATGGAGGATTTAGGTGGGAAGTGAGGGACAGCGATGGAGGATGTAGGTGGGAAGTGAGGGACAGCGATGGAGGATGTAGGTGGGAAGTGAGGGACAGTGATGGAGGATGTAGGTGGGAATTGAGGGACAGCGATGGAGGATGTAGGTGGGAAGTGAGGGACAGCGATGGAGGATGTAGGTGGGAATTGAGGGACAGCGATGGAGGATGTAGGTGGGAAGTGAGGGACAGCGATGGAGGATTTAGGTGGGAAGTGAGGGACAGCGATGGAGGATGTAGGTGGGAAGTGAGGGACAGCGATGGAGGATGTAGGTGGGAAGTGAGGGACAGCGATGGAGGATGTCAGTGGGAAGTGAGGGACAGTGATGTAGGATGTAGGTGGGAAGTGAGGGACAGCGATGGAGGATCTAGATGGGAACTGAGGGATATTGATAGAGGTAATCCAGGTACACCAACATGGTGTAATGGTTAAAGTGTTCAACTAGGATGTGGAAAACCCAGGTTGGAACCCCTACTCATGCCACGGAAGCTGGCCTGGTGACCTTTGGCCAGTGAAGCACTCTTAGCCTAACCTACCTCACAGGGTCATTGTGAGGATAAAATGGTGGAGAGGCAAATGCTGCCAGCTGCTTTGGGTCCCCATTGTGGAGAAAGGCAGGATATAAATAAAGTTAATTTAATTTTGCTGGAGATTTGAGACTGTGATCCTAAGCAAACTCACAATGAAATCTGTTCCACAAAACTTCAGTGTTCCAAGCTGTAAATCTCAAAATGTCCTTGGTGGCAAGAAATAAAACAGAACTTCAAGAGCGGGGAGCATTGCAGAGGAGACCCAGCTAGAAATTCTGCAAACAGTTAGAGCTCCCAAGTCCTCGGAGTAGTAGAGCTGAGATGGGGAAAACATTTGTGCTCAGATCACGAGAACCTGCATGTTTCAATTTCAGAATTTCAGTTTTGGGCAAGTTTTCCGATTTGGGGTGGCTCGTGCCTCCAGTGGTCCATTTTTATTTTGATTGGATTGTTTGTACCCCACATTTCTGTGTGCTTAATACACTCAAGGGGCATTAAAAAGGTAAAGGTTCCCTTGCTCGAAAGCCAGTCGAATCCGACTCTAGGGTTGCGGTGCTCATCTCCGTTTCAAAGCCAAAGAGCCAGCGCTGTCCGAAGACGTTTCCGTGGTCATGTGGCCAGCATGACTAAACGCCAAGGCGCACGGAACGCTGTTACCTTCCCACCAAAGTGGTACCTATTTATCTACTTGCAATTTCTTGCTTTCGAACTGCTAGGTTGGCAGGAGCTGGAACTAGAGACGGGAGCTCACTCCGTCATGCGGCACCCGGGTCTCGAACTGCTGAACTACCGACCTTCCACAGCCTGCAGTTTCAGCGTCTTAACCACTTGAGCCACCGCAGCTCGCATTACAGTCTTAGTAAAAACGTCATTAAGATACAAACAGCCGTGCAGGAACCGTAAGAGCTGCCGCACGAGGAACGTAATGGTGGTGGAGAGCACCGTCAGGTCGCAGCTGCCTTATGATGTCCTTGTAGAGTTCTCAAAACAAAGGACATGCAGAGATGGTCTGTCGCATGTGACCCTGGACGTCCTCAGTGGTCTCCCATCTGGCTGGGGCTGGCCCTGCTTAGCTTCCGAGATCTGATGAGATCAGCCTAGCCGGGCCATCCAGGGTAGGGCGGGAGACGAATGGAATTGGTTTGCCTCTGCGTAGTAACGCTGGACTTGCTTGGTGGTCTCCCATCCACGTACTGACCGGGGCCGACCCTGCTTAGCTTCCGAGATCTGACGAGATCGGACTAGCCTGGGCCGAGGAATGTCATTCATAGAATCCTAGAGTTGGACGGGGCCATTCAGACCCGCTAGTCCAACCCCCTGCCCAGTGCAGGACCAGCCTAAAGCATCCCTGACAAATATTCATCCAGCCTCTTCTTGAAAGCTGCCAAGTGAAGGGGAGCTCACCACCTCCCTGGGCAGCTGATTCCGCCTTTGAACCACCCTGACCGTGAAAAGGTTTTCCCTAATATCCTATCCAGCTGATCCCTTTCTGCATGTAATTTAAACTCGTTGGTTCAGGTCCCATCCTCTGCTGCCAACTAGAACAGCTCCTTGCCCTCCTCCAAATGACATCCTTTCAAATATTTAAAGAGAGCCATTATGTCCCCCTTCAATCTCCTCTTCTCCAAACTAAACATTCCCAGGGCCCTTAGCCTTTTCTCGTAGGGCTCAGTCTCCAGACCCCTGATCATCCTCGTTGCTCTCTTCTGCACTGTCTCGATTTTGCCCACATCCCTTTTGACGTGAGGCCTCCAGAACTGCACACAGTACTCCAGGTGTGGCCTGACCAAGGCTGTATACACAGAGGGGCTGTGGCCTCCTGCGATTTCGATGCTATGGCCCTTTTAATACAACCCAAGACTGAGTTTGCTTTTTTTTTTGCCACCGCATCACACTGACTGCTCATATTTAGTTTACAGTCCACCCTTACCCCAAGATCTCTTTCACATACACTGCTCCCTAGAAATGTATCCCCCATCCTGTATTTGTGCTTGACATTTTTGTGGCCCAGGTGTAATACTGTGCATTGTCTCTTTTGTTGAATTGCATCCTGTTCGCAACTGCCCACTTCTCCAGAGTATTCAGGTCTGGTTGAATGATCTCATCGCTTTCATTTTTGTCCTGCCCTTCTTCCAAGGAGCTCCAGGTGGCTTCTCTGGGTCTCCCCTTTCCCGTTTTACCTTCACAACAGCACTACGCTGAATTGCGAAATCCTGTACCTAAACTCTGTTCTGAAGTTCAATCAATCAATCAATCAATCAATCAATAGACCTTTAATGGCATATACAACATTAAAATCAGAGACAGTACATGACACAATCAGCTAAAAGTCTGAGATAATTATAAAATCATAAAACGGAGTTTCCCACGTTTTTCACTCTTATCACATCAACTAAAAAATTGGCCACTGCCACAGTAATCTCTACTGTTGTATCATTCAATAGAATTTGACATTTTATTTTATTAGGAAGGTGATGTTTACCCTGCAACCAAGTATTTAACCATTTTTCCCTAGCAGATGCATGCAACGAAGAGTCTAACAGTATGCGATCAATTGAATCAAGAGAGATAGAGCCGCAGTCACATCTCCGTTCATGCTTAGGAATATTTTGAAACCTACCATACAGTATTTTTGATGGAAAGGCATTTACTCGTGCAAGGGAGAAAGCTCTTTGATGGCTAGGACTATCAAGATTATACAAATACTGGGGAATACATCCCACAACATTCTTAAGATTTAATGTAGCTGAAGAGCAGACAGGGGGATGAAAGGGCTGCAGTTTTTGAAATTCAATATCTAAAAGCCTCTGTTTGATTTTTTAAAAGATATACACTTCAGTGGAAAAAGCTAGCTCCTCCAAGGAGAGGCCCATAGATCTTATTTTGGTTCGAATATTATAGTCCCAAGAGGTACTATGAATTTCCTTTAACAGAAAGGACAAAAGCGAACCATTTAAGCCAGTAACGAACCGTTAACACCCATGTCTTGGTTTCAATCAAATTAAGTCCTAATCTGTTCTGAAGTTGACGCCGAGATCTCTTCCCTGGGTTCTTGTTGGTTTTCCACGATGAGATAATACCACAGAGTTGTTGCCATGACTGATGCCAAACTGATCCCCCGGGGCGGAAGGATCGATCGCCCGCTCAGGAATAGCCCGTGGTAGGCTGTAGTAGCCATGGCGCCGCTCAGCATCTCGTAAGCTGGGCTTCAGATGGGTCGGATGAGCAGCATGGCTTCTCGGGTGTGCTAACACGCTGCTTGTCTTCTCTAGGATAATCTCCAGCAACAGATCCCACATTGTCAAGCTACCTCTCAGCAGGGTAAGTGGGCCGTGTCTTCCCTCCTTCGTGATCTTGTCTTCACATTCCGTGCCGAGCGTGAACTTCTGGGACAGCAGAGCTCATCTTGTAGTACATTTGAACATGACGAGCTGGGAGGGGGGGGATTTCCTCTGTACCCCTTCATCCCAAACTTCAGTGCCGCCTGGCCAGCAAGATTTGCTTGGTTACGGTTTCCACGATACAGGGACTTGGGCTGTAATATTTTCGGCATGAAGTCAACGAACGCCAGAAGTGGGTGGTATGCTCAGTTACAGAACGAGGGCATGATGCACTGAATAGAGGACTCTGGAGCAGTGTTCCCTCTAAGCTGAGTTGGTGTGAGCCAGCTCACTGTTTTTTAGCCTCTGGCTCACAGATTTTTGTCTTAGCTCAGGAAGGAGGGCTCCAGAGCAAACTGATTTATGCAGCACCAGGAGTCATTTCCTGTGGGAGCACACAGGAGCGGAGCTCTGGCAGTAAGGAGCTCAGGGGGTGGGCAGATGCAGCAAGCTCCGCCCCCTGCTCCCAGCAGCCCTCAGTTGGGCCATGAGGAGCAAGAAGCAGCCAGGTAAGTTGCAGAGGCCCCCCTCCCAGCCCACCTTCAGGTACAAGCTCTCCCTCCTCTGTAAGGGCAGATCTGCGCGTCCCCCCCCCAATAGCTAGCAATCCAAAACAGTCCAATGGAGCCTGAGTGGTAGGTGTTGCCTTCTGACACACTTCCGGTGATGTCAGGGGGTGTGGCATATGCAAATAAGTAATGCTAATGAGTTATGCTAATGAGCTCCTGCACCTCTTTTTCTACGAAATGACCCCTGTGCAGCACCCAGATCGCTCGCTCACAACTTTAATGCCAGTCGCTCACAAAGCAGAAGTTTTGCTCACAAGACTCCACAGCTTAGAGGGAACATTGCTCTGGAGTGTTCCTGTGCTGCTAAGGCGGCAAGGGAGGTCCTACAGGTGCTGCTTCCCCTGTGGCGCCGTGATAGGAAAAGTTACATCTTACTTTAAGTCGCCCTGAAATGCACTTGGGCCTTTTTGCCAGATCAGACCAGCGGTCTCTCTTGTCCAGCATCCTGATTCACACAGTGGCCAAACAGGTGCCCCTGGATGTCTACACACAGGGCACGAAGGCCAAAGCCTTCCCCCTATTGTTGCCTCCTAGCAACAGGTGTTTAGAGATATACTGCTCCTAAACGTGGAGGTTCCGTTCCTCCACCCTTTGTTTCTGAATGAGCGCTTAGTATGGAGAGAAGGGCAAACAGTTGGATTTGGGGAAGGGATTGCCTGCTGAAAACTTCCTTGCATGATGGCCCTCTTTCTCTCTCTCTCTCTCTGTCTCTGTCCCTCTCTCTGTCCGCTTTTGGTCCTCTCTCCTCTCCTCTCTCCCTTCCACGTGGGCCTGTTTCCCTTGGTAGCAGCTGAAATTTATGCACACCTCACACCAGTTCCTCCTGCTGAGCAGCCCTCCCGCCAAGGAGGCCCGCTTCCGAACAGCCAAGAAGCTGTATGGCAGCACCTTCGCCTTCCAGTAAGTCCGGCCTCTCCTCTTCCCCAGTTTGCAACCTTTTTGTTGTTTTGCTTCCCTCAGGCTAAAGGGCCAATCTTAGGTGCGATGGTGGCAGGCACCGGTCTCTTCTCACGTGTATCCCATTTGTGTAGGAATCAGGGAGGTGAGGGATCGTTCTTTAATAGTAAGAGGAGCGGACAGGAGAAGGGTGAGGAATAGGGGTGGAGCCACAGGAAGAGGTGCGCATCACTTCCTGCCTGGGTCATGTGATCTGTCACTTCTGGCCTGGGCAGTCCTGTTGAGATGACGGCTGAACGGGGTAGGATGGGTTGAGACATGTTAGCAGCCACAGGAAGAGGCCCGCATCACTTCCTGCCTGTGTCACATGATGCGTCACTTCCGGACCATGTCATGCGATATTGTTCCCATCCCAGAAGGCCAGTTTGGTGTGATGGTTAAGAGCGGCGGACTCTAATCTTCCCCACTTGGAAGTAGCTGGGTGACCTTAGGTAAGTCACAGCACGCTCAGCCTAAAAATAAGCATAGCTCGCCACCTAGTGGTGCCAAAAAAGAGCTACAGCTTCGGCAGCCAAGCAGTCCCTTTCGGGATCTCCTGGCTATTCCACACACAAGGCCATACGATAATTAATTAATTTCCACCCCAGCTTTGTAATCCAGGCTGAGTGAGTTGGCAGCTGGAAAGGGGAGGGAGGCGGCTGCTGGGCCCACCTCACAAATGGTAGTTTAAGAGCGAGGGCAGCAGTAACAACTGTGCCCAAGCCTGGAGTGCCCTCCTTGTGAATAAGGTGAGAAAGTAGCCACTGCCATGTCCTTGCAAAGAGGAGCCTTCACTGAGCATCCCTCCAGTGCCCTGGCCCACTGAGGAATATCCCAGTTAGTTTAAGGGCCAATTCTGGTCTACCACTGAACCCTCCCCTTTCTTGTGATTGGCTCTTGCTAAGTCCATTAGCTCAGGTGCTCCTGGCTCATTTCAGGTATAAGAGTCGGGAACGGAGGAGATATTTGGAGCTTCTGACTGTGAGGAAGTATGGTGTTGGCCAAGGGAGGGTCCTATGCCTCTCTCCTGTATATTATTGAAAGTGGTAAAGGAAGGTTCCCTCCCACCTCCTGTTTTATATATAAACAGTTCTACTGTGCTACAATTTCGGAATGGCTGTGACTCAGTGGACGAGCCTCTGCTTTTCTTGCAGAAGGTCCCCGGTCCAATCCCCGGCATTTCCACTTACAAAGGATGTGAAAGACTTCTGCCTGAGCCCCTGGAGAGCCACTACGGGATTGAGTAGACAATACTGGCCTCAATGGACCCAGGGTCCAATTCAGTATCAGGCAGCTTCATGTGTGTGTTGTGTTGGCGAATTTTATAGCACCTTTACCCCCATTGCGAGCCAGCGGAGACGGACTGTTTTCAGTTTTGGACAGTTTAACCGCAGCAATCTGTGATTAAACAACTCACCCATGTTCAGCCACCACCTCAACAGGATTGCCTGGGCCAGAAGTGACACATCACATGACACGGGCAGGAAGTGATGCGGGCCTCTTCCTGTGGCTCCACCCCCTCTTGTCCACTGATTTGGGACGGGGCAGTGGCTCTGCTTTGAGCATCTGCTTTGCATGCAGAAGGTCCCAGGTTAAACCCCCATCACCTTTAGTTAAAAGGATCAGGTAGCAGGTGATGGGAAAGACCTCTGCCTGAGACCCTGGGAAGCCGCTGCCAGTGTGAGTAGACAATACTGACCTGGGTGGATCGAGGGTCTGATTCAATATAAGGCTGCTTCATGTGTTCATATCTGAAGGTACTCTGGGGTGGGATGTACCTCAAATCAAGTGGAACGCGCATAAGCAATAATTGTCATTACACATTTTAAACGTTTTGCTGAGGGCCCTTTTCAGACAGCCTTTGTAATCCGCTTTGGTAGCCAGTTGCTAACGGATTTTTTGTGTCATTTCAGACACAACATTTTAGCAACTGGCTGCTAATGGATTTTATTTACCTTTTCATACAAAGCCACTTGCATCCGGTTAGCAAAGCGTGGTTGAACCATTCTTGAGGTAAACTGCTTTTTTCCGTTTTCACCTTTGCGCTTTTGAATTGCTGTGGTGTGCTGTTTAAAATGTCTGCAGCGCTTCCAATAGCACTGCACTTTTTTCTCCGTGCTTTTTCACCGCATGATCTTCCTTTCTTTTTTTTTTGCAACGTTAAGCGCTGTAGCACTCGACCAATATAGCACTTTAATGCTACAGCGGCACCATGGGGATGCCTTGGGACCATTGCTCTATTACTCTAGTGCTATAGCGCTCAACTTAGAATATTCAGAAAAAAATTAAAGGATGATCATGTGGCAAAAAAATGGTAGGGGAAAAAGTTTGAAATTGCCTGATTGCTTCAGAGAAGGCTCATTAATGAAATGAAATTCACTGTATGGAACTTCCATCCCTGTATTGCTTTACTCGGAACTAGGGGTGTGCATTCAGTATAAACTGAACTGAATAAACACTCGAAAAATCTGTATTTTTCGGGTATTACTTAATAGAGATGAGCCCGAAAAAAGCTGATTTTTTCCCCTTTTGCTTTTATTCGGGGCAGCTATACCGCAAGCCAGCCCCAGCGGAGGCGGTACATTGACTATAATGGTCCTGGTAGGGTATAATGGAGCTGAAAAAATTGAGCAATCCCGAATATTTCCTGAATCCCAGTACCATACCAATATTGGGATTCGGGAATATCGGGAAATACCGATTTTTCTGTGTTCGATTTACCTGAACCGGAAAAATACCGGGTTGGGTTTTTTTGCATACCTCTACTTGGAACTAGGCCAACAGCGGATAATATCTGGTTTAGACTGGTAAACGTGAAAGGGTCCTAGATCCTGTCGACCGTTTTGGTTAGTAAATAGTTTAAGCACAACCCAGCACTTCTATCTGCTCCTTTGGCTATTAAAGAAAGCTGTACTCGGTACTCAGTTTAAGTGGGACAGACATCTAACCGATGGCCCTGTCACTCTTGGTTTGGCCTTGCGCCTTATAGCTCACTGAACCAGTTATGAATGCATGCACTTTTGGCATAGCCAGAAGTCCCCCTCTGTCCCACATCCCTACTTTGCCCCTCTTCTCCTTGATCATGACTGGAGCCATTACAGAATTATTGGATTGGCGAAGATCCTTGTCGCAGCCATTTCCCTTTGGTGCCCTTTTAATTTACCACACCTCCTATTTGGCCTAGCGTTTGAACGTGGATTGCCCAATCTCAGGAAGAGGGAAAAGTAAGGAAACGAAACACCCGTTTGAGGAGGGGCTGTTGGGAGGAAGCGATTAGGTGCCGGCCGAGCGAGATCCAAACGGAGAATGGAACTAAACTTGAGCAGAATTTGCAGTCTTGGATTGCGTGGATTATCATCTGCAGCAGGACTGGTTGGTATTTGGGGTGAATGCGGGTATAGGAAGAGAGGAAGGGAGAGGAAAGCAATGATAGATAATATTTAATTTCTCTCCCACTCCATTTCCCACAAGTAGGACTCAGGGCAGCAATATTGTGATTGTAAGGCACCTTGAGACTCCTAAAGATAGAAAAAGCGGGGTATAAAAAAGAAAAAGTGGGGTATAAAAACCAACTCTTCATCTTCTGGAGGATACATCATTTTGGCCGATGACTGCAGAAGCAAAAGAAGTAGAAGAAGAGTTGGTTTTTATACCCCGCTTTTCACTACCCGAAGGAGTCTCAGAGTGGCTGACAATCGCTTTCCCTTCCTCTCCCCACAATACACACTCTGTGAGGGAGGTGAGGCTGAGAAAGCTCTGAGAGAACTTTGACTGACCCAAGGTCACCCAGCCGGCTGCATGTGGAGGAGTGGGGAATCAAACTCAGTTCTCCAGATTATACTCTGCCACTCTTAACCACCACACCACACTGGCTGTCATCCCCAGCCCCGTTACCTTCCTATAACCTGCATTCACCTCAAATACCAACCAGGAAGGGAAAGGGGAAAGAGAAGTAGGCCCCGTGGAAGCCATTTTGTGGTGTCACGTGTACATCTTTCCTTTGAGGATCTAGCTTAGTGGAACAAGTCCTGCTGGTTAGAAGCAGAAAGGGCTGTGCAGAATGCTGATTGGCTGGGCACGACAAACCTCCTCCTCCTCCCTAGAGCAGTTTTTCAGTTAACCCCCCCACACACACACACACACAACAATCTGCTTATTGCGCTCTTTTTGTAGCAGGAACGCCTTTGCATAATAGGTGACACACTGCTAATGTAGCCAATTCTCCAAGAGCTTACAGAGCTCTTCTTACAGGGGCTACTGTAAGCTCTTGGAGGATTGGCTACATTAGCAGTGTGTCGCCTAATATGCAAAGGAGTTCCTGCTACAAAAAGAGCCCTGAATTCTGGTGCTTAAAGCAAATAGCCTATCAAAAGATTGCTGGGGGAGGTGGGAGAGGAGGCACCAAGCTTGGCAGGGGCAGGTATGGATTCCATTTGAAGGGGAAAGCCAGATTTATCCCACGGAGGGGGGGCATATCTATAAAACAGTCTTCCCTTTCCAGGAGATCAGATTTTTGTCTGTTGTTCTTCCAAGTGTTTTTTGAGCTGTTCTGCACAGGAAGGTTTCTAGTGGCCAGCAGCTGTACAGGCAATTTCTGTGTATTGCGCATGTGGGCGCCTCCCCGTCACATCCCCTCCTGCCCATGTGCGGGATCGTTGCTGACCCGTCTTCTCTCGCCCCGCAGTGGCTCTCACATTGAGAACTGGCACTCCATCCTGCGCAACGGGCTGGTCAACGCGTCCTACACCAAATTGCAGGTAAGAGACGGCCGCCGGCATCTTCGTAGCCGGATCAGACAACTTGCTGGGAGTCTTGTCTCCTTCCGATCCGTCGCTTGGGCAGATCCGCTCCGTAGTGGGCGATGGCTTCCTTTAAGGATGGATTGTAGGCATCTTCCAGCCAGTTGGGTATACCCTAACACACAACAGAGGCAGTTTCCAGCATGGTTTTACTTGGGGTCAACTTGACATGGCTTGAGCACTTATCTACCATTGATTAATCACAGCATCTAGGCCCACGTGAGGCTGTTTAAGAAGTCACTCCCCATGGCCTTGTAGAGATGTCCATCCAAGAGGGACTAAAGACCACCCCCTTCTGTTCATCCAGCCGTCGATGCTCTCTAATAAAGGGAGATCCAGTCAAACACTGACTTCAGTGGACTCTTGCATAGAAGGTGAAAACTCTCCCCAAAAGATTTTAAAGACAAGCCATGATACTCCTATGAATATATTAAATATACTGAATATGTAAACACATACAGCACTTCAAAAGAATGGAATGCACATCATAAAGGCACACAAACCACAGAACGATGATTCTTAAAGTGATACAATCCAAAATAGTCCACAAGCCCAAGCCTTCCTAGGGGCAATAACAATCCATAGAAAATACTGTCCAGTATACCCTCTTTTTGCCTGCTAAGTTTGATACCATTGGGTTGTGAATTTGCTAAGAGGCCTTGGACGCCACTTAATACAGAATAGCATTTTGTTTATGCATGGTCATTGTAGAAGAGGAAGAAGAGATTGGATTTACACCCCGCCCTTCACTACCCAAAGGTGTCTCAGAACGGCTTACAAACTCCTTTCCCTTCCCCTCCCCACAACAAACACCCTGAGAGGTAGGTGGGGCTGAGAGAGTTCTTGACAGAAACTGCTCTTTTTCAAGAGCAGCTCTTATCAGAACTACGGCTTGCCCAAAGTCACATCAGCAGGTGCAAGTGGAGGAGTGGGGGAATCAAACCCGGTTCTCCCAGATTAGAGTCCTCTGCGCACTTAACCACTACACCAAACTATACCTACCTTGACTCTCACTGTACCCTTTGGTGAAGGATTTTCTTCAAAACAGTCTTAATATTACATATGATACCGTCGGGGGTATATTGACAGTATTTTCTCTATGGACAGTTATCGCCCCCAGGAGGACTTGTGCTTGTGGACTATTTTGGATTGTCTTGCTTTGGGAATCACCATGCTGTGGTTTGTGTGACTTTTATGATGTGCATTCCATCCTTTCAACATGCGGTATGTGCTTACATATTCAGTGTGTTTAATATATTCCTAGGAGTACCATTACTTGTCTTCAAAAACTTTTGGGGAGAGTTTCCACCTTTTCATTTGTAGGTTTACGCTTTCCCCTTCCTGGTTAGTTTTGTGGGGTGTGGATGCAATGCTCCCTCTAAGCTGCGGAGCCTTGTGAGCAAAAACTCTACTTTGTGAGCTCCCTCTAAGCTGCGGAGCCTTGTGAGCAAATATTCTACTCTGTGAGCTGCTGGCATTAAAGCTGTGAGTGGGCGATTTGGCTCCTGCATCAATGAATTTGCTCTGGAGCCCTCCTCCCTGAGCTAAGACAAAAATGTGTGAGCCGGAGGCTAAAGAACTGTGAGCTGGCTCACACTGGCTCAGCTTAGAGGGAACACTGTATGAATGGAAGGCCGGGAGTTGTGGCCAGCTGGGGAAAAGCCAGCCATTCAGGGCGAGCTTGTAAGCTCTGTCCCCGTCTTTCCTGGCCTGTGCTCTTTCTAAAAAAAAAAACTTTGGCTCACGCTGGTGTTTTTCCGCAAGCTGCACGGAGCAGCCTATGGCAAAGGGATCTATTTGAGCCCCATCTCCAGTATTTCCTTTGGATATTCAGGTAAGCGGCTCTCCCTTTGTGCCCTTCCATCTGTCGGTGAACCCCCTCCATCCTTCGGACGTGCTTGCTTGGCATCCGAGAGCCGCTCTCTCTCTGCTCCCACCGTATGTGTGTTTTCATCCACATGCTGACTCTTGGGGTAGCCTTCCAGTGCTTCGTGGGCGGCCAAGAAATGCTCCCTGCCTCTATGCAATTTTAAACTCTGCGGTAGGCCCGCTTGGCCAGGTCCCGAAGCCGGGAGCCGTTTCAACCTTTCCGATCACTCGCCTCATCCTGTCGTTGCGCATTCAGATTCTGCATGGTGGCTGCGGATGTACATTCTTCATTGTGTTCGTAGGACATTGAACGGGTCTGGCGTTCGATCCGTCTCCAGGAGGTGTGTTCTTTCCATTGCATGGGGGAGGTGGGATTTGCTGATTCTGGGGGCCATCGGAATTGGTGGTTTCTGCTGTCCATCTTCTCTGGCCCTACTTTCTTTGGCTGTGTGTGTGTGTGGCTTTAAACCAATCAAGGGCAGAGTAGGGTGACCTCATTTCCTTTACCTTAGTGTAGTGTTTAAGAGTGGTGGACACTAATCTGGAGAAATGGGTTTGATGCCCCACTCCTCCTCTGCATTGAAACCAGCTGGGTGACTCAGTCACCGTTCTGTCAGCCCCACCTGCCTCACAGGGTGTCCGTTTTGGGGAGAGGAAGGGAAGGCGATTGTAAGCTGCTCCTCTGGGTAGAGAAAGGGAAAGGGAAAGGTCTCCCTTGCTCGAAAGCCAGTCGAATCCGACTCTAGGGTTGCGGTGCTCATCTCCGTTTCAAAGCCGAAGAGCCAGCGCTGTCCGAAGACGTTTCCGTGGTCATGTGGCCGGCATGACTAAACACCAAGGCGCACGGAACGCTGTTCCCTTCCCACTGAAGTGGTACCTATTTATCTACTTGCAATTTCTTGCTTTCGAACTGCTAGGTTGGCAGGAGCTGGAACTAGAGACGGGAGCTCACTCCGTCATGCGGCACCCGGGTCTCGAACTGCTGAACTACCGACCTTCCACAGCCTGCAGTTCAGCATCTTAACCACTTGAGCCACCGCAGCTCCAGCTGGGTAGAGAAAAACAGGGTGTGAAAACCAACTCCTCTTCTTCTCGAGAACCAGTTTGATGTAGTGGTTAAGAGCAGCAGGACTCTAATCCGGAGAACGGGCTTTGATTCCCCACTTCTCCACATGAAGCCCACTGGGTGACCTCGGGCCAGTCACCGTTCTCTCAGAGCTCTCTCAGCCCCGCCTACCTCACAGGGTGCCTGTTGTGGGGAGAGGAAGGGAAGGCAATTGTAAGCCACTCCAAGACTCCTTTGGGTAGTGAAGGGGGGCGGGGTATAAAACCGACTCTTCTTCTTCTACCTCAGATGGGAAGTTTGCTTCCCCACTGTCATGGAAGCTCGCTGGGTGATCTTGGGTCAGTCACACCCTCTCCGCCTAACCTGCCTCGCAGGGTTGTTGTGAGGGTAAAATGGAGGAGAGGAAAAGCAACGTAAGCCGCTTCGGGGTCCCCTACTGGGGAGAAAGATGGTATATAAATAAAGCAAATAAAGTTTTGTCCCCGCCCCCATTGCCTTTTGGACAACAAACCACTGTCGGATAGACCTGCTAAGGAATACGATTCCAATTGACGAATAAGGCTTGAAAGCGGCAGTCTGTCCACGACACCGCACCTATACCAATGTTCCCTCTAAGCTGCAGAGTCTTGTGTGCAAAAATTCCACTTTGTGAGCGACTAGCATTAAAGTTGTGAGCGAGCGATTGGGCTGCTGCATGAATTAGTTTGCTCTGGAGCCATCCTTCCTGAGCCAAGACAAAAATGTGTGAGCCAGAGGCTAAAAAACTGTGAGCTAGCTCACACTAACTCAACTTAGAGGGAACACTGACCTAGACTGCAGTCTAGTGTGAGCAGATGTGAGTGTATTTCACCAATATTGAAGCGACTGTGCTGGATTCCAGATGTTGGTGCTAGGCCGCCCGTAAGCCTTTCAAAGTCCTCACTGTCTTGAATCCAGTCTATTGAATCAGGCAGTGTTTGCTCCCATAGAGAATCTCCCAGTGCACTGAGATCACCCGGAGAGGTCTTGCTGAAGGGATCCGAGGCTGGTCTCTATTGAGTTGCCAACTCTAGGGGAGGAAATTCCTGCAGATTGGGGTGGTAGAGTTCGGGAAGGGAGCCAGCTCAGCAGGATATAATACCATAGAGTACTCCCTCCAAAGCAGGCATTTCCTTCTGGCAAACTGATCTTTGTTTGGAGATGAGTTGTAATTCTGGGAGATCTGCAGGTCTTTCTCCATGTGTGCAGGTCCTTCTCTGTGGCTTCCCCCCACCGTCCCCCGAAAGGGCTGATGATAAGCCCCATCTCTACAGGTGTTCCACTGAGGAGTGAAGACGCTTCATTCCCATTTCTTTTCACTTTCTCCATGTGTGCAGGTCCTTCTCTGTAGCTTCCCCCCACCGTCCCCCGAAAGGACTGATGATAAGCCCCATCTCTACAGGTATTCCACTGAGGAGTGAAGACGCTTCATCCCCATTTCTTTTCCCGGACCTGACCGTTTTTAACCAAGTGCCTGACTTGACCGTTTAACATAAATCCTACTTTTTCTATGGTACCCATTTCGGTCAAGTACTCATGTTCTTTTTAGGTTAATTACTGTGGTTTTAAGGTGGTTGTTTTTATGGGGATTTTTGGTTACTGTAGCAGAGTTTTGCCCAGCCGTAGAGGCGTGATACTGAGTGCAGTCAGTAAATCTCCCAAGAAGTATATTGCAAAAAAGTTTACCTTTATTCAACGCTTATTCAAGTAGATCCAGTTCACATTCGGGTTGCAGTCAAAGGAGAGAAAGAAACCTAAGAGAGCCAGTTTGGTGTAGTGTGGTTAAGTGCGCGGACTCTAATCTGAGAGAGCCGGGTTTGATTCCCCACTCCTTCGCTTGCACCTGGCTGGATGACCTTGGGCAAGCCGTAGTTCTGATAAGAGCTGTTCTTGAAAAAAGAGCAGTTTCTGTCAGAACTCTCTCAGCCCCACCTACCTCCCAGGGTGTCTGTTGTGGGGAGGGGAGGGGAAAGGAGTTTGTAAGCCGCTCTGAGACACCTTTGGGTAGTGAAGGGCGGGGTATAAATCCAATCTCCTCCTCCTCCTCCTCTAAAGCTTTTCCTATCACAAATAGCCAGCTTGTCCGGCATCATGTGTGTGGGATTATGAGGGCATTGTATCCACAGGAGAGACCTGCAGAGACATGTGTCTCCATGGAAGGCCATATGGAGAGAGAGGGAGCAGACAAAGGGAGAGAGAGGAGGGGTCAGAGAGCAGCTCCCAGGATAAGACAATGAGAGGCATCCCATTCAAGGAGATAACACCCGTACACCCTTAGAGTGATGTAGCGCCCCCCAATGCCCAGGCATGCTGAGTAGCCAATCGTTTTTATAGGATGGATGAATTTGTACACTGGTTTGAACTTTTCAAGGAGTAAATAAAACAATAATTAGCTCACTTTTTAGGCAAGGGCCCTTCAGATATCCCCGTTATAATACTCCGGAGGTTGGTAAAAGGGTGTTGGGGGACCCACTCTTGGGGCTGTTCTTTAGCCCAAGGCCTGCTGGAACCTCTCCTGAAATTTGTTGTTTCTAAGCATTGACTGCTAGTGAAATGATTCCACTGCATTGCAGGTTTTCAAACCGCCATCTAGAACTGAGGCTGAGTCTTCAGTGACTGTGGGAGAGGAATAAATAATCTGACTTGATATAAACCCACTTCTTACATTCAGGAAAGGCATCAGTCCTGAGCGAAGATCTTCTATTTAGTACCTGCTGCCATAGATTCAGAGACACATACGAAATCCTAGAACAGCTAGATTTGGGTTCAGTAGCACCAGTCCTGTGCCCTGGAGCAGTGCCCTGATGTCTAGAGCATCCATAGGGGCCAGCAGCCAGGAGCTGGAACTGGAGTCCAGGAGCTGGAGCTTGTACAGCCGTGGTAACTCGATCTTTGTTACAGGCTGATGCTTGCTTTGAGTTATGTGGCCAGGCCACTCCCAAGATAATATTTCTCTCTCTCATGCTTGTTAATCGCTCTTATCTTCAAAGCCTGATTTGTTTCCTCTCACCATTAGACACCAGGGGCAAGATGGCCTGGCTCAATGGTTGGGATAGCTTGAATAGTGATTTCTTGACTGGTAGCCAGCAGTTAAGGTATAGCTGTGCATCTCGTCTCAAAGTCTGGCTCAGTTTTGCTGTGTGTATGTGCGTTCAAGAACCAACAGATGGGACCTTAGTCTACTATTTCTGTAAACTTGATGGTTGCTTAGTAAAAACTCCTTGCAAGCAAACCTGGATCTTGCATATCGTTTCCTTGGGATTTCTGCAAACCTGGAGCTCCTGACTGGAGTCCCAAACAGAGCTGGAGAGGCAGAGCTTTCAAGAGACAACGCTCATGTCAAGGTTCAGGCTCAGAGCCAAGCAAGAGCACTAACCCAAATGGTGTAGTCAAAGTCTGGTACGAAGGTCATAGCACAGAATCTGCAAGTTGTAAAGTAGCAGTCCAGAGGTCAGTCTGAAAAGCAAGGTCTAGAAGTCCAAGGGTTGTCAAAGAGTTGGCCCAGAGTAGATCCTAGAGGCAGAAGATGGTCCAAGGGGGTCACAGGAACAAGGCAGAACCAATTCAGTGGCCACCAAATCAGAGGATATTCAACTTGTTGCTTCCACACCTAACAGTGTCCCTTGTCTGGTTTTTATAGCCATATGCTTAAGGGTTAGGCTTGCAGCCAGCTGCTTCGGGAATAATCCTGCAATCACTTATCTTTGCTATCAGCAAGCAGCTGGCTTTGGGCCAGGAGGCATGCACTTTGTTGTCTCTCCTGTAGTTCTGTTCTCAGCCTCCGTCTGCAGCACTCTAAAGGTGTGGGTGATGCTGGAAGGCTGGGCTCAACTGAGTTTCACCTGTTGAATCGGGGCTGGAGGGTGTTGGTGGCTCTGCATGAGCTGTCGGCTGTGCATCCTGACTAGCCTGTAGCTCCTGCTTGCTGGCTTCTGCTGACTCAGAGCTGGCTGCACGGGGCTCCTCTTCTTGTGAGGAGTCTTTGCTACGGCTGGGCCCTAGGCTGACCCACGACAGCTCCCTTTGTTGGTATCTTATACCCCGAAACTCTTGTTGGCCTCTAAGGTGCAACTGGACTCGAATCTAGTTGTTCCACTGCAGACCAACACGGTTGCCCTTTGAAACCTATCTTCATAATGAATCCTAGAGTGTCCCATGATGGGGTGACGCTACTTCCAATTACATATCCAGAAATGACGTTGTGGCCTCAGGAGAATGCTTTCCCCAACCATTTTCTCCGCCCCTCCAGTGAGGGCCAGCGGGAGGCAGGGGAGTGCCGGCGGGGGTTCTCCCAGCAGTTGTGGGGGAATGGCAACTTTACATCCCTTCATTGTAGATCTGGCCTTAGAGTCATGGGTCAGTATCAGCCACGTATCGGCAAACATTGAGAGGTGGCTTTTAGCTAACTGGGTGACACAGTGGTGATCCTCATTGCCATGAATTAGGGTTTGAGAGACGGGTGAAAGGATACATATTATCACTTTGGTGTAGTGGTTAGGAGCGCGGACTCTAATCTGGGAGAACCGGGTTTGATCCCCCACTCCTCCACATGCAGCTGCTGGTGTGACCTTGGGTCAGGACCCTCAGCAACAATCGAAGCACACACTTGCAAGAAGGTTTTACTTTATTGAAGCTGGAGATGCATGGACAGGAACACTGTTAGGAATGAAGGGGGGAACTATGCGCAAAACAGTTATAGTACATTCATATGAGCGTTACCCAATTACTATGGTTCCCGCGCACGCCATTAGGCCTGGGAACTAACTGCTTCCCAAAGCAAAACAGGTACGAGCTTCCCACGGCTTTGCCTGTCTAAAGCCAAAGCAACGATCTAAGCGACTCCTCCAGCGGCCTTGAAAGATACGCAGTGCAGTTTGCAGGAGAACGGCAATTAGTCATAGGGAAAGGTATGCGCATCTGTGCATAGGAAGGCATGCGCATGTGCAAGAGGGAAAAGAACATTTTGGCAGCTTGCTGACACCTTGGGTCAGTCACAAGGTCTTTCAGAGCTGTTCTCTCAAGGGCAGTTCTCGGGAGAGCTCTCTCAGCCCCACCTGCCTCCCCTCTTTTGTGGGGAGGGGGAGGGAAAGGAGTTTGTAAGCCGCTCTGAGACTCCTACGGGTAGTGAAGGGTGGGGTATGAATCCAATCTCCTCTTCTTCTCTTCTATTCGAAGTTTGCTCGTCACCTTGCAATCTGAAGACCTTGCCCAAGATCTGAAGCAGCAAGCAAGGCCTCCATGGGGTGTGGTGGTAGACTTAGGGAGCAGTTCTAAGAAGTTCTACTTGGAAGTAAGCCCATTATATCCCATGGGGCTTACTCCCAGGCAAGTGTTCTTTGGAACGCAGCCCAAATTCCAGTGACCCGGAGAACTGAGCAAGGGGCCACTAGGGAGGACAATGGCCACATACCTTTTCCAGTCAAACATCTTGCGTGTACGTTCCTCTCAACGTGAGGTTAGGGGGGGGGATTTCTTTTGCCTGGTGGCTCTTCGCAGTCCTGCGCAGGGTAGAATACCAGGCAGCTTTTTTGTCTCGTTTTTACACATCTACCTGTTGTGAACTCATTGGTTGTGGTTTGTTGTGTCGTTGTCGTTTTCTTGTTCCACGGCATCATCCTCCACAAAGCGGCTAGAAAGCATTGCTCACTCACTTGGGAACCACTTACCCCCAGCCTCAGCATCATGGTGTGCAGGGGTCATTTCGTAGAAATAGAGGTGCAGGAGCTCATTAGCATGATTCATTAGCATGACTTATTTGCATATGCCACACCCCCTGACATCACCGGGAGTGTGTCAGAAGGCAACACCCACCGCTCAGGCTCCACTGGACTGTTTTGGATTGCTAGCTATTGGGGGGGGGGTAACGTGCAGATCTGTCCTCCCAGAGGAGGGAGAGCTTGTACCTGAATAAAACTTGGTCTTAAAGGTGCCACTGGACTGTTTTGGACTGTTTGGGCTCTGCAACTTACCTGGCTGCTTCTTGCTCTGACTGAGGGCTGCTGGGAGCAGGGGGTGGGGCTTCTTGCATGTGCCCGCCCCCTGGGCTCTTTACTGCCAGAGCTCCGCTCCTGTGCGTTCCTGCAGGAAATGACCCCTGATGGTGTGTACCTTCTTTCTATCACCCCTGCAGGGATGGGGAAGGGACAGCATCGGATGCCCTCGAAGGACGAGCTGGTGCAGAGGTACAACCGGATGAACACCATCCCACAGGTAACCATTGTTTTTTGCAGCTATGCCAGTCGCTTTTCTTCTTGCCATCACCTGAGCAGGGAAGCTCTGAATTTTGCAAGCATCCCTGTTCTTTTCGGGCATTCGGGAGCTGTGACTTCATGGGAAACTTCTGCCACAATAAATCCATTGGCCTTTAAGGTTGTCATAGAATCATAGAATCACAGAGCTGGGAGGGGGCCACGCAGGCCATCTAGTCTAACCCCCTGCTCAACACAGGATCAGCCCTAGAGCATCCCTAACAAGTGTTTGTCCAGCCGCTGCTTAAACACTAAAACAAGTAGAACTACTGCAGTAGTTCTACTTGTTTTTGTCACTCTATACTGCAAAAAAACCCACCCATTTGTTGGCTGCTTAAAGACTGCCAGTTGCCACGAGGCTGTTATTTTGGCCAGCACGACTACGCCTTTAGAATTTCCCCCCCACTGTTAACTGATTGCTTCGTCGATTCTTGGTTGCCAGGCACGTGACTCCGGTAGACAGAGGGGGAGACACTGTGGTTCTGCCCTTTAGTGTGAGGTTTTGGGATCCCCCTAGAAGAGTTAGTCACTGGAGAAGACCCTGATGCTGGGAAAGATTGAAGGTCAAAGAAGACGGGGACGGCAAAGGATGAGATGGTTAGACAGTGTCATTGATGCAACGAACGTGAAGTTGAGCCAACTTCAGAGGACGGCGGAAGACAGGAGGGCGTGGCGTGATCTGGTCCATGGGGTCGCAAAGAGTCGGACTCGACTGTGCGACTGAACAACAACAAAAGAAGAGTTAGTGACTGAAACCAAATGCAGTCAGTCCTAGTGGCAATGTCTGATTTGATCAGAAGTGGTTTGTAACTCTTTTGAGTTTAAAATTATTCTTTAGGCGGATGACCTTTTATTATTTATTTCGGAAAGGCAGCCTTCCATTCATCCATGAGTGGATACGTTTAAAACCTTTGCAGACTTGTCTGGTGATCTTTTTCTACGAAACGACCCCTGGCCGATGCCATCGGGAGACAATCTATCACGGAGCGTATTGAGCTAGGGAGAGATATTGTTGGGATTCTTAATTCAAGGTCGATGGTCGTGTTGCAAACACAGGAGCCACACTTAGTAAAAGAAAAAATATCTTTACTATAAAAACAAAATAAAACATGGGTATGGTACGTTGGATAAAAGAAATAAAATAAAAAGTTACATACTTGCAGTTACTCTCAGTAATATATGCTAACAGCTACATCTTTCTATCTCTCTTGGCTTCTAGAAGAGAACCACCGCTTTGGTTCACACAAAGGGCCATAAACGTGTGAATACATGAATGCTAGATCAAAGCATTTCTACAAACAAGATGTTAGTTGACCAATACAAAGGTTACAGGTCACTTCATTAGGATAAACAACTCCCACAAACTTTCCCGCAGTTGAATACGTTATGTAATGTAACATCCTGTTTCCTAACAAACAACATTTAACTCTGTAATGACTGAAGTGTAAGCAACTTGCAATTCCAACAGATATCATTACCTATCTCGGAATACTGGTTCCTAGAGATATTAGAAAAAATGATGGCCACACCAGTGGGCAGGAAAGACGGAAAAGAACTAGGCGCAAGGTAGAGTTTATTTAGCTCTTACGGATCCCTACGCATTTCACTATGAACTTCATCAGGGGATCTTTTATAAAATATACAAACACAAATTCATTGAACTATATAACCAATGAATACTGTCTAAAAATTATAAAATGCACAAATGAACAGTCTGAGCATGTTAGAAACTGGCCTTATAAGATTCCTATAATTATATCCAAGTCTGCAGCACAATTTTGTTCTATAATAAGAACACAAAGGCAGTAGAAAAGAGCAAGAGTCCAGGAGCACCTTAAAGACTGACAAAATTTGGGGCAGGGTCGGAGCTTTCGTGAGTCGCGGCTCACCTCTTCAGATACGACTAAAATGGGAGTCCATCTACCCTAGTT